TATGATCATTATAAAGATTTCGTATAAGTTTTTCACGAAATAAAGTGCAAATATATATGTAAAAATATTTTAATAATAAAGAAAGCATAATATTGCACATCAATAAGTATTCAACTAGACAAACTCCAAATTTCTTCATCTAATGAGCGTATTTCATCCAATGTTTCTTTTAAAAATTGTTTAGATTTCTTTCTTGGTACGGCTCTCATATTTGTTAGTAACGGGTCAGAATTTAGTAGAAGTCTGTTGATTATGTCCATGTTATAAAACGAAACAAAAGAACAAAAAGAAACAAAAGGAAATTTCATGTCTAAATAACCTTTGGACAAAACCTAATTTACGTTTAGAGAAACAAAAGTAATTACTGAAATTATATCCGCGGTTTTCCGCAGCTAATTCTTTCTGACATTTTATCCGGAAAGATTATTCTTTCATTTCACTCAAGAAATGTAACAGGGATAGACCGTGAAGTATAACCAAATCCTTCGAGTTTGACATCGAGAACGCAAAAAGATACATTATTGAATGCTATTTTCAAAATTGTATATCTACGTGAATAATAATTCAATTGTAATAAATATGATCTAAAACGTTTCTTCATACCTTTCTCGAAATAATCCGTAACGAAAAATTTCGCGCTGCCACTTCTAAGAACCTTAAAATTCTGATCGAAGATCATATGTTATAAAGTGCTTAGGATTGATGCGTGCAATACGAATAACGTCCAAATTCCGACTAACCAAAGCGCTTCATGTTATCGCGGACGAACAAAAGCATAGCGGCCTATTATTCCACAGATATTCAACTGTCTAAGACAGTCACTCATGCAGAGCAAGAATGATTTTAAGAAAATTGACTTTTGGCCAGCTCTTCAAGCCAAACATTCCACAGTGCGACGGGAGACTCCTTCGCGTGACGTCTCTCAGCGTATCGTCAATATTTTTCAGTTCCGGATGTTCCGGTCGAGCCGTGAAAATTCACCACGGCGTTTCGACGTTTCAGCGTGAGCGAGCGAGAGGGAGAGCTCCTCGATCGATGTGATTCAACGATCGAGCCTGAAAGTACGATCACGTCTCGCGTTACATTTACACAACTGAACTAGTCTCAATCGCGGTTTACGCCATTTCGGATAAAAATGCAGCTATACATTGCGCACATGGCCGGCAGAAACATCGTTAATAAATATACGAATTATGAAAACAAATGCGTGACTGAACGCGTCCGCGGTTCCTCGAGGGAGGAACGGAGAACTCACCCGCGTCGTTTTCTATCGGCTACGAGTCTCACCTGCACGTTAATTAATATACGTACTCGCCGTTAATTCAGAATTCTCATCGCACATCTGTCTTCGTCTTCGGCGTTAACGTGCGATAAACGTCGCTGTTAAAAGCAGTCCTGCGGACCTGAAAGCGAGCGGATACATCGTATTTTCAGGTTCGATCGTCGAATCGATCAACCGCTGTCGCGGAGAATTCCTCGCGAGGATGAAAAGCGACTCTCGCTCATGCTGAAGCGTCGTGATAAATGTGGTACGGCTCATTCGACGAGAACATGCGGAACTGAGAAATATTGACGATGAAAAACGCTCACTCCGCCAGAGCGGGAGACAAGCGTCGCCCCTGAAAGATGACTGCCCGATATACATCCGCGTAGGCGCCGAAAGACGCGCGTAGATGCGCGAAAGTCTCCGTTTGTACGATAGCGAACGATCTTTTGCGCGTGAGTATTGCAGAAACATTTTATTCAGGCGAACAATCTAAAGTCACTGTCTGTTGGCCTTCCTCCTCCTCCTTCTCCTCATTCTCTTTTCTTCGGTACGATTGGCGTCCTTCGCGCGATTCATTAGACACGTCGACGTCTCGTCTCGACTTTGCTCTCTTTTTTAAATGTTAATCAGCAATCGGTTGCGTATGAAAGATAAAAGGAAAACACACATACGCCCGTAACACGTACAATCGCTCGCGCGGCAGTCATATTTCATTAATTTCCTCAGTAATAATGATTTAATGAATCTTTGTGTATTATCGTCGCCGCGCTCTCTATCATACGTCGCTCGCGTGTGTCGGATTACATTTGCAGCCGTTGCACTTGCATGCGACGGCTGCATAAATTAAATTGCGCATTAAAGCGCACCGGCACGGCGATGGATTCCAGATAGAATGTACGTGTTTCCACGCGAAGCAGTGTCATATGAAGCTTAGAGAATTAGTCGCTTGGAAATAAATATTATTAGAATGTTGAATTAATTCTGGTCTTATTTTGTTAATTTTTTATCTTTATTTGAAAAAAGTTGTTAAATTTATATCAATCAAAATCATTTCCGTCGTTAGCTGTGACTTTTTCCCATCTTTCTGGCAACATAGCGATTTCGCGACGATAGAACGATCTGTCTTTCGAAGCAATCTAATCAAATGCCCATTTTTGCGCATCCTCGTAAATATTGAAATGTCTATCGACCAAAGCGTATTGCATCGATCGGAATAGATGGTAATCAGATGGTGCTAGGTCTAGGAGAGTACGCTGGGTGCGGAAGGATTTCCCATTCGAGCTCTAACAATGTTTGTTTAACGATTGAAGCAACATGTGGAAGAGCATTATCGTGCAAAAGAATCACTTTGCGTCTATTGCTGGCTATCGCTGGACATTTTTGCATCAATTCAACATTTAGTTTGTTCAAATGTTGCTGGTATCGCTCCCTCGTAATTGTTTCATTCGAATTTAGGAGCTCATAGTACATATCACACTTTCCATATTATACCAAATATAGATAATTACTTTGTGACCGTGAATGTTCCGTTTTGGTGTCGATGTTGATGGTTATCCTGAATCAACCTAGGACTTTTTTCGTTTTGGATTATCAAAATAAATCCACTTTTCATCTCTGGTTACAGTTCGTCATAAAAACTCATTTTTCTGTCTGACAAGCAAAGATATGGAGATATTCAAACGATTTTCAATGGCATTTTCACTCGATTCGTGTGGAACCTGTTTGCCTTCCTTTTGAATTTCTCTCATGGCGTATAAGCTTTTAGAAATTGTTGATTTATCGACGTTGAGTTGTTCAGCCAATTGTTTTTCCGTTTGAGTGGTGTTTGCATTCAATAATGCTTACAATTCAGAAGCTTTAAATTTTTTTGGTTGACCAGTACGTTTTTTGTCACTCAAATCGAAATCGTCACTTTTGAATCGTTGAATCCAAAATTTATAGTTGGAATATGATGGAGCTTGATCATCGTAAGTTGTAACAAGCATTTCATGAGCCTCAGTTAATCGATTTTTTCAAATCAAACAAAAAAGTAACAAAAGAATGTCGAAAATGCAATTTTGTACGATCCATTTTAAACGCGTATAAACAATGAAACTATCAATAATAATAGCGCGCAAACTGTCATAGCTCACAGAGAAATATCAAATCTTTCATTATTGCCAGATTTTAACATTCATACTAACCATTAACTTGTTACTAAAGCCATCTATTGCTAGAGACCAGAACTAATTCAACTTCCTTGTAAAATTAACTAATTCAACTTCCTTAAAAAATTAACAATCCTTATCATTGGTCGCATTTAAGATTAGTACATTTCTGAGACATTCTCTTAAAAAAGATTCGACTTCAAATATTCCCAACACTTCCTCAAGCTTGGTCTTCTTTACATTTTTATAGTATTGCCTTCTACATAAGGTAAACGTACCGAATTACGCCACTTACCCGAGTTACGCCATCTTAGCTTGTTCTATGCATATAATAAAACACAGCTGAATAAAAGTGTACAAAAATTGTCGGAAAGAAGTCGTGATAGTGTGCCAAATGGCTCCGCTAAAGTAAGTATACGAAAATATAATGTGATTTTTCGTGAAAACCAATTTCAAAAACCTATATCAAAGATTTATCACTTTTGACTATTTTCGACTGAATTTGCTTCTAAATGATTACTAACCTATGAAGTGACACCTTATAATAATATGATAAAATGAGATATTTTTGAGTAGTAATATAAAATGTTTTAGTTTTGTACGGTTAAAATATAATAAAAGATGATAAAAAGGTATGATATTATAAAGTTATATGGTTTTTATATAATATTATACACTAAAGGTGTTGCTGTGTGTTTGGCAGGATTGCAGGGGAATTATTCACATCGAGCTACTCCGTCGCGGCGAAACAATCACGACGGACAAGTACTGTGAGCAACTCACTAGACCCGATGCGGCTATTCGAAAAAAACGCCCGGTTTTGGCCAATCGGCAAGACATCATCTTCCACCACGACAATGCTAGACCGCACGTCGCCCAACAGACGCTGCAAACAGCAACAGGAGTTACAATGGAAAATTCCCCAGCACCCAGCATATTCTCCATATATTGCCTTTAGATTTTTATGTGTTCCGGTCTTTACAGAATATATTGAAGGGCGAAAATCTTAAGCCCGAGAAAGCTGTCGAAAACCACCTCACGAACTTTAAAAAAAAACGAAACTCTTTTTCCAAAATGCAATCGACAAGCTTGTAAATCGTTGGAAAACAATTGTAGAAAAGAATGAAGACTATATAATTGATTAATAAAAATGTATTCTTTAAAATTTAACCTATTGAAGTTTATTTTTAAATCGAACACGAATTTATGCAATCATCCAATATTAAAATATATAACAATAAATACAAAATAACAATACATAAATGAGTTATATTCCTCTTGAATATTCTACCTATCTGAGTAATGTAAACAGTTCGTTTCTGCAAACAAATTGTTCTTCGATGATTCTGCGACCGGAAAGCGCTCGCTCAACAACTATGACGTACTTTGATTCTTATCATAACCGATCACCGCGTGTAAGTACGTGATTGGGACTCGCAACGGTTATTTCATGTGTTTCCTTCATGAAGAAAATGTTCAAACTCTATTCGCAGTCGTCTTGACGTGACCTTTTCTATTTGCCTGATATATCTCGCTTTCGGATATTGTCGATATCATGTGAGTCATTTCAAACAGTCGCTCGTCGAACATACAGAATACATATGGAAACTTGTCTCTTTCAGATATCAGGAATTAGTCGAAGAAAAGAAATAAAGTTGTGCGGTTACGCAGACAAATTATTGCACCAAGCAAATTGAAAAGAACAGAATCTCAATTAATAGTGAATCGATAGAGAGAAACTGGCACAGTCTTTAGAGGGTGATCCGTGCGACAAACATTAAAAAAAGGGAGAAGCATTGAAAAGTGTATAAGTGTATTTTATCGACGTAATATCTGCAAACAAAACTTCTGTCTGAAGATGGATATGACAGATCTCGACGAGGTCTTCGGACTTAATAATTATAAATGGAGCAATTACAACTACCAAAGCAGCGATTTGGTAATCTCGTAAAATTACATTATATGAAAGCGCAAGGACGTTAACATGTTCTTGGTAAGGCTATAACTTTGTTTATAATTTGCAGGAAGATGTGTTAAGCGAACAACGATGTCTTCTACCTAACGAACAAGAAGGAAGCAATGTTATGCAGCCAGGACCGTCCTTGGAGAATAATTTGTGCGGCAAACATTCTATCAAGGAGAGCAGCACTAAAAAGTACATCAAATTTCAGAAACAATGCCACATTTGCAAACAAAACTTTAACGATAAACATGAATTGAATGATCATTACGAGAAGGACCACAAATATCACTTCTACAAATGTAAATATTGCAACTACAAAACCAACCGTAGGGGTAACTTAGAAAGACACGAGGAAATACACTTAAGAATATATTCAACCAAAAGCAGCGACTACGTGTGTATTGAGCCCGGCTGTAACAGTAGATATAAGGATAAGTATGATTTCAAGTACCACATAAAGATTTGTCAGTATAAAAATAAGATGGAAAGCAATAATATGGAGCCGGGACCGTCCTCAAAGAGTAATCTATACGGCAAACTTTTCAGCAGAACGAAAAATGAAAAGCTCAAAGTTTCTAAACAATGCGGAATCTGTGGTCAAATTTTCCGTAATAAAAAAATGTTGGTAGATCACTCAATAACGGTTCACCAACATTGCGTGCATATATGTGAAGACAAAACATGCGATTACGAAACCGACGTACTGTATCACATGCAAAGGCATTTTGTAACAAAGCACATGAATAATAAAAACTAAGTATGTAGTGAGACTGGCTGTAACTGGGTGAGAAAAGGACATCAGGAGTAGCTAAGACAACACATATGACGCGTTCACTCTGACAAATAAAAGGAAAGCAGTATTGAGGACCCAGGGCCGTCTTCAGAGATCGACCTGTACGGCAAACATTTCAGAAGAAGCTCCAGCATTGAAAAGCCCATAAATATGCCTCATAAATGCAAAATCTGTAACGGAATGTCTCTTTCTAAGCAACAGTGGAAAAAATACCTCATAGATCTTTATAAACAATCCATATGCAACTGCAGCCATGGTTAATTACGTATTTAACAGGGAGAATAACTTGCAAAGACACACGAAATCACACGGATACTTAAGCCTAAATGTGTACTGAGTCTGTCTGTGGAAGTATAAATAATAGGCGGATCTGAAGACACACATACAATCGTCCTGTCAACCAGAAGAAAAGCAAAAGTGCGAATCCGGGGGGTCTTCCGAGAGCGACCAATGCGGTAAACATTCCAAAAGAGGGAGCAGCATTGAAAAGCGCGTAAATGTGCCTCAGCAGTGTAAAATTTGCAACCAAGGTTTCGATAGGAAGAAAGAGTTGACACATCACCTCTGAAAAAATCAAAGGATATCGCATGTGCATCTGCGATTGCAATTACATATCTAACATTAAACAACACTTGATACGTCATGTTGTATGTAAGCACATTGGCAATTACGACCATGCATGTAATAAGAATGGTTGCTAAGAGAAATTCAAACTCGGACAGAAACTGAATAAACAGGTAAAATATCACCTTTCCAATGACTCTCGTACCGGTTCTGAAAATATGCTCAAGTAAGCTGTTGTTTTTTAAAGCGCGGGAGGCACAAGAATGTGCGGAGAAATCAAGAGGTGGCCGATCTGCATCGCCCGAGTTACATCCAGCGGCAGTCTTTACGCAGTTACATGGAGAAAATACATTTCGATTCACTTCCAATCGAATAAAGTTTCAAAAGCAATGACAAACAGGCTGTTGAATCGAGTAGAGAAAGTACAAGAAGGACGCGAGGAAGCAGTTTGTGCTTAATTTGTTTATATACAGTTTATTTATATCCACACGCGCACATATACACAAATACACGTACACGCTCAACATATGTGCTGAACCATATATTCTCTTAACACTCACACGCACACAGACACGCAATATCCGCGCATAGTAGATATCCCACATCGTATCGTTTTGTAAAATTATATTTTTAGCCCTTTTTAAATTGTATTTTTATCCCTGGACATCTTTCGCACTAATTCTATATATTCTATATATTCTTACATATCCGCGCGCGCACGTGTATGAGCATGTACATACGCATACACACACATACATGCTTGCACCCAATTTGCTCTGTGGGATAATGAGACCAGTACATAGGAAAGAGTTGGAGGATGATTATATGACGAACGTTGTAGGTATATAGTTTGCTTACATAACGAGCTGAACGTAACATAAAAATTTGAATGTTATATAATAAGATAAACAAATATCATATTGTACGTGTGACATTTTTATAATAATGTAAAACTTTTGTACATCTGGATATTTACATAGCCGGCACATATTCAGTGAACACAAATTATAACAGTGATTTTATATGTATATTATAACATTGCACTTGAAAATATAACAATATAAAAGAATGTAAATGTAATATAATACATCTTGCAAATTATATTTACATTGTTTAGCAAGATATTGTGACATTGTAATAATGTTACTGTTCTAGTTTGTGCTCTGACTAGAATGCAATAAAAAGGAATATATACGTATTTATATATATATATATATATATGTATATTTCTTTTTTGTAATGTGCATATTAACATTTCTATGTTATATTTGTATTATATATTTTTACTCAATAGAATTGTCATTGTAAGAGCTAATAACTATAAACTAACTAATAAACATAGCGTTATATAGAAATATAAGTTCATATATATATATATACTGTGCTTGTGTTTATTATAATATGTTTTATTATAATACGTTATATTATTTTATAGTGACTTATATATTACCTTAAATTCATACAATGTTATTGATTTGATACTGTGCTGCCAATTCTAACGGATGTATTAATTTCATTTATATTTAGTCTTAGATATAATAATATTAATTTAACTGTATATAATTTCATATATTCTGGAATAGGAAATCTGGATATAGTCTGGAAAAATTAATTCTGTTAAAGAAAAAAAGAATAGATTTATAAAATTATAATGAAGAATTTCTATAAAGGGGGGCACATATTCGTTTTCATCGTATTTATGTAACAGATTTCTACCAGTTATGGATGTATGTAATTATGTATACTTGTACCAAATGGCCGTGTAATATTAACTAACAGGAATATTATATTAATATTGTAACATGTTATATTATCATTGAGTAAAAGTATAACATGACATTTATATTATTGAGTGGAAATTAAGAAGTTGTTTTAATATTACTGTTGGGTTATTAAATTTGTTAACGATGTTTTTTAAATAGGGACACAATTTATATATAATAATTTTTATCCAGGACATATCTTTTTTTCTTTTTGCATCATGCTTCTAAAAGTAATAATCTTGCTGCGAATTTCCATATCGTGTTTTGAACCGAGATTTCAATAAATCTACATTTTAATATATTTTTGTTATATTTGTTAATTTTGTAAGTCGCCATCAATCTCAAAAAATCGTGAGCATATCTGTCCGCAATTACTTTAATTATAACGCTGATAAGACGTATGATTGTATTGAATTTTTCAGTTTCGAACTTCCTTTCTATATAAAAAATATAATACCGTTTTCTAAGACGATTGAGAGTTATTGAAGCTATAAAAATATGACGTACGATATCCTCTCTTTGCGTATTGGCTTATGAGACGTAACTCTATTCTAATCTTTTAAAGACCTCTCTATACTCGTTTCCTATTATTATTTTCATAATCCATGTGTATCTATTTCAATTAAATAATACAAACTCCAAAGTTCCCTATTATCACTGAAAATGTGCTAAATTTCATCTCATACCAATGTGTGGAATTTCTTTCTATTTAATTCAATCCACAACTATTCAATCCACAATATATTCTCATGAATTTCATTTCCTAAGAAATCTTATAACTGTAAGGGATAATTTCATCGGGACCTTCTCTTGCGGGGACGATAGTCAATAGTGTAACCTTTCGTAATTAGGATAACTTTAATATAAATTGAAGCAATACAGCACAGCGTCGTACAAAACTCATGTCGCATCGCTCTCTCTGGACTCCCTGCTCGTCTTCTCCTATCAACAATCTCCCTGTTTTTCTCCTCATTACTTTGTTCGCGTATGTGCAACAGCGCCTTCGGCCTCAGGCCTCTGCGATGTTCGGGGCATGCTTGCGCACATCTTTCTGGTTCTTACTTTCAAAAACGCTTACATAACACAGTCTCATGATTATTCCCGGGCATAAAATTTGAGATACTAATACAATCTCTTGAATCAAATCTTTCCTCCGAGCTAATCGGAATAATACTAACGAGATATACAGGATGTTTGGTAACTTATCCAGCCATAGCGAATGAAAGTATGGTGCTAACTAAAACAAACGTTAAAGTCCCATACAGTTTTGCTAAATTCACAATAATTAAAATTTATTTATTTATTACTCATTTATTTTATAATATTTTCATATATAGTTAATTACAGTACACTATCTAGATCGGATCATACTTTAAATGGCATTTGTTACATGTACATAAAATATAATGTATTATCGTAACAAAAACCTGCGTTTTTAAATACGACAATGCGTCATATTTTATTCATGAGTAACTATACGACAAAATATGTACCAAATCTTCTCATCAACTTTCGCAACGAAAACCAGTTTTTAATTAATGATTATAATTTTTGACAGCAACAAATGTTCCCACCGAAATATCATGTATGTTAATAGGAGTAAGTTTTAATTGCGGATCAATCAAGAACGCCAAGATATATTTATATCATTATATCTACTAAAAACAATATATATATATATACATCAAAATTATATAAAAGTATAACAATAAATATACAATGTAACAATAAATAATATGATAAATGTTTAACACACAACATACAAGTATAATATATAAATATATAATATAAAAGTACGCAATATATAAAACATATAGTATATATCAAAATACATAACAATAAGTATAGATTAACAATACATAAGAGACTTATATTCCTTTAAAATATTCCGTGTATCCCAGCAATGTAAACAACTCGTTTCGAAGATAGTTCTTCGATGGTTCTGCGCCCAAAATGCGTGCTCGCTCAACAATTACGACAGACTTTGATTCTTATCATAACCGATCAACGCGTGTAAGTTCGTGATTGGGACTCGTAATGGTTACTTCATGTATTTCCTTCATGAGGAAAATGTTCAAACTCTATTCACAGTCGTCTTGACGTGACCTTCCTTGTTTGTCTGATATACCTCGCTTTCGGATATTGTCCATATCATATAAGTACCAATAATTTCAAACAGTCGCTCGTCGAACATACAGGATACATATCGAAACTTGTCTCTTTCAGATATCAGGAATCAGTCGAAGAAAAGAAATAAAGTTGTGCGGTTACGCAGATTATACGACAAATTATTGCACCAAGCCAATTGAAAAGAACAGAATCTCAATTAATAGTGAATCGATAGAGAGAAACCGGAACAGTCTTTAGAGGGCGATCCGTGCGACAAACGTTAGAAAAAGGGAGAAGCATTGAAAAGTGTATAAGGGTATTTTATCGACGTAATATCTGCGAACAGAACTTCTGTCTGAAGATGGATATGACAGATCTCGACGAGATCTTCGGACTTAATAATTATAAATGGAGCAATTACTACTACCAAAGCAGCGATTTGGTAATCTCGTAAAATTACATTATATGAAAGCGCAAGGACGTTAACATGTTCTTGGTAAGGCTATAACTTTGTTTATAATTTGCAGGAAGATGTGTTAAGCGAACTACGATGTCTTCTACCTAACGAACAAGAAGGAAGCAATGTTATGCAGCCGGGACCGTCTTCCGTGAATGATCCGTGCGGCGAACCTCCCATCAAGGGGAGTAACACTAACAAATACAATAAAATTCCAAAACAATGCGACAGAAGACATGGGTTGATAGATCATTGCGAGAAGGACCAACGTCGCATTTACAAATGTAAACAATGCGACTACGGTACCAACCGTAAGAATAACTTGAAAAGACACGAGGAAACACACATAAGAAAACGTCCGACCTATAGCGGCGGCTACATGTGTACTGAGCCGGGCTGTAACAAGATATATAAGAATAAGTATAGTTTAATGATTCATATGACATATAATCATAATAATAACAAGATGGAAAGCAATAATATGGAGCCGGAACCGTCCGCAGAGAGTAATCTATACGGCAGAAAGCTAAATGAAAAGTACAAAGTTTCTAGACAATGCAGAGTCTGTGGTCAAATTTTCTGTAATAAGAAAATGTTAATAGATCACTCAATGAAGGTTCACCAATGTTGCGTTCACATATGTGAAGACGAAACATGTAATTACGAAACGAACGTACTGCAAAACATGCGAAAGCACTTTGTAGCAAAGCACATGAATAATAAAAACTAAGTATATAGCGAGATTGGCTGCAACTGGGTGAGCAAAGATTAGCAGTAGCTAAGACAATACGTACGACGCGTTCACCGTGACAAATAAAAGAAAAGCAGTATTGAGGACCCAGGGCCGTCTTCAGAGAGACCTGTACGGCAAACATTTCAGAAGAAGCCCCAGCATTGAAAAGCCCATAAATGTGCCTCATAAATGCAAAATCTGCAACGGAATGTTTCTTTCTAAGCAACAGTGGAAAAAATACCTCATAGATCTTTATAAACAATCCATATGCAACTGCAGCCATGGTTAACTACGTATTTAACAAGGAGAATAACTTGCAAAGACACACGAAATCACACGGACACTTATGACTAAATGTGTACTGAGCCTGTTTGTGGAAGTATAAATAATAGGCGGGTCTGAAGACGCACATACAATCGTCCTATCAACCAGAACAATAGCAAAGCACATGGACAATTATGACTACGTGCGTAACAAGGAAAGCTGCTACAAGGAATTCAAAACTCGAGGAGGAACTGAAGAAACAGGTAACATATGACCTTTCCAAAGATACCTACTAATGCCGAAAATATACTGAAGTAAATTCTAATTTTTTAAAGCGCGGAAAGCACAGGAATGTGCGAAGAAATCCAGAGATTCAATCTGTGGCAAGGCTATACTAACAAAGAAAGGGTCGGAATTGTTCTTCAAGGATTTTGACGGGCTTTGAATATATAGCAGAGCAATGAGAACTATTACATATGAATTTTTTTTACCGGCGAATCTCAAACTTTAGAAGTGTGCGTGAAACAACCCCTAAGAAAAACCAATATTTTAATTTTTTGCGAATATCTTGTAAAATGCGAGGTATATGAAAAAATGTGCCGCACAAAAGTTTTACAGTATTTTATACTATTTGCACTTAATTTGATGATTTTGAAATTTCCAAAGATCGATAAATTAACAAAAGTAAAGGCACTATTATAGCAATATATTCTTCAAATTAAATAAACTTAAAAGCTCTAATTTTTTCCATTTTTTCTTTCGACAAATGATTAGCGAGATATCTTAAGTTAAATATTGAAAAAGTTATCAAGTTTTCCCTGAATATCTCAAAAAATATTAGGCACATAAAGAAATGTTCAGACAAAAGTTGATAAAATTTGTGTGGCAGAAAAAGAAGATATAATGAAAAATTTGGCTTTCTATTTAAAAAAATTAAGTTGACCTTTAACCCACTTTAAATATACGTTTCAAAGTTAAACCAGGGACACCATTGTATGTCCCCCTTTAAAACATACAACTTTTATTTAAAACATTTCTTTCTCCATCGTTTCGTTTTTGAGATATTTTGCATCATGAACTTAAATGTTTCTCCCTGTATAAGGCACATTCATCTACTTAATATTTTTATTCGTGTAATAAATTGCTTATTGTTGCTTATTATTAAAATTAATTCCCTTGCATATTGTATGTATGAGGAAGTATATAAATATAAGAGACAGTTATTGAGTACAGCGCAACTGAAAAGAAATAACACCACACCTATCTACAGCATGGCGTCTGTAGCACGATGTTGTCTCGTTTTTCTAAAAATTAATCATGACCATATTGTATTATTATATATGGATGGATTTGGTATCAAATGTTCTTTAATTTCTGTCCTCATGAAATTTTTTAATTTTGCGAAATTAAAAAGATAGGGGCGGGAGGTAGGAAACTTTGACACTTTTGAAAAATCTGAATATACCGTTACAAATAGTATAAAGTATTATGAAACTTTTATAGGAAATATTTTTTCATATACCTCGTATTTTAAAAAATATTCGCAAAAAATTAAAATGTTAGTTCCTTTTAGTTGTTTCACCCTTTAAACCTTGAGATAAAAAAATTATGTGTCTAATTTCTTATTGCTCTACAACATATTCAAAGGCCATCAAGTGCCCACACAAATACACACACTCACTCACACACAATGTCCGCGCGCAGTGAATATTCTAAAGCAAATCTTTTTGTAGAAAAATGTTTTTAGCTCTTTTTAAATGGTAGTTTTGTCCCTCAACATGTATTCGTAATAATTTTATATCTTCTATATATTCTTATATATGCTAACGCGTGTATGTATGTATGTGTATATACGCATGCATGCACATAAATGCTCTCCCCCAATTTGCTGTGTGAAATAATAAGACAGTACATAGGAAAAAATTGGCGGATGACTATATAACGAATATTGTGTATACTTTGCTTACACGACGAGCTGAACGTAATATTAAAATTTTATTTTTATGTAATAAGATAGACAAATTTTTATATTGTACAAGTGATGATTTTAAAATAAGATGAAATGTTTGTTGTAAACGTGGATATTTACATATTCCATTAACACGAATTATAACAGTAGCATTACATCAATAATATAACATTGCAGTTAACTATGTAAGAATATAAATGAATGCATATGTAATATAATACATCTTGCAAATTATAGTTACATCGTTTAGCAAGAAATTGTGTCATTGATATAATTTTTCTGTACTAGTTTGTGCTTTAACACGTTGACTGCCAACTACGAGATATCTCGTAGGTTGTTTACTTGCCCAGGACGCCTACTACGAGTTATCTCGTCCCTTCATTACTTGCCATATTTGTACAGCTACGAGGAAACTCGTAGCATAACAGTGTAAATATGAATAGATGGCCTCAGGAAAGAGAATAAAAAATGTTTTTTAAAAAAAAACATTTTTTAAGCTTTTTGATTATTACTATATACTATTATTAAAGTTTTTAATAATATAACATGTTTAAATCAAATTGGCTCTTTAGACCGGAATCGTGAAAAATTCCGTGGCAGTCAACGTGTTAACTATGATATAATAAAAAGAAATATATATATATATGTAAATTTTTTTGTAATATATCAGGTGTAGTAAAAAGAAATCCATTATTTTTGCATAAAATTGAAGGCTTTAATTACCATAGTTAGAATGATCCGATTTAGGTCAAATATGCGCCGTTTTGTTCGATAACTTGTTGCCATTTTGAAGGTAATTTCATTATGCCTCTCTCATAGAAGCCCTCGTTCCTATTGGCAAAAAGTTGAGGCAGTCGATTTTCACAAGCCTCTCTTGAAGAGAATTTTTCACCAACAAAATTGTTCGCCATGGACAGGAACAGATGGTAATCACTTGGTGCCAGGTCCGGACTATAAGGTGGATGCATAAGAACCTCCCAACCAAGCTCCCGGAGCTTCTGGCGAGTCACTATCGATGTGTGTGGCCTGGCATTGTCCTGATGGAACACAATTCCTCTCCTATTGGCCAAAGCTGGCCGCTTCTGGGCGATTGCTTCCTTCAGACGGTCCAATTGTTGACAGTACAGTTCCGAGTTAAGAGTTTTGCCGTAGGGGAGCAGCTCATAGTAGATAATTCCCTGCCAATCCCACCAAACACACAGCAAAACCTTCCTGGCCGTCAATCCTGGCTTGGCCACCGTTTCCGCCGGCTCACCGTGATTCGACCACGACCGTTTTCGCTTGACATTGTCGTAAGTGATCCACTTTTCATCACCAGTGACCAACCGCTTCAGAAATGGGTCGATTTTGTTGCGATTCAGCAGCGATTCGCAGATGGAAATTCGGTCCATGAGGTTTTTTTTCGTTAACTCGTGTGGCACCCATACATTGAGCTTCTTTTTGTATCCAGCCTTATTCAAATGGTTCCAAACGGTTTTTTGTGCAATCTTTAGCTCTTGGGCAATCGAAACAGTGCTTACATGACGGTCGGACTCGACAATGTCCATGATTTTATCGATATTTTCGACAATTGGCCTTCCAGTGCGTGGTGCATCTTTGACGTCGAAATTACCGGAACGGAATCGACGAAACCAAAATTGCGCGTGATTGGCTGTTACAGTATCAGGACCATAAACACTTGGAATCGACTACGTAATGTTTTGAGAAAAATTATTAAATAAATGAGCGAATAAATACACAGTGGTCGGACATTGCGGGCCTGCTATTCCACACAGCTTGGACCGCTTAAACCACCATTTTGAGGCAGCCATCTTGAATTCACATTTTCACCAATGCATACCTTGAAAGTCCAACATTTTTGAGACAAGATGTGACACTTGTAGCTGTATCAAAGTAACGTTTTTGATACGAAATCAAGCTTATAAAAAATAAAATTGTCGATTTCTCACGACTTCTTTCAAAAAGCAGCTGAAGGTGCAGAACTCGTTGCAAATGCTGGCCTGCATCCACTGAAGGTGTTGCTGTGTGCTTGGCAGGATTGCAGAGAAATTATTCACATCGATTTACTCCGACGCGGCGAAACAAACATGACGGAAAAGTACAGTGAACAACTCACTAGACCCGATGCGGTTATTCGAAAAAAACGTCCGGTTTTGGCCAATCGGAAAGACATCATCTTCCACCACGACAATGTTAGACCGCACGTCGCCCAACAGACGCTACAAACAGCAGCAGCAGTTATAATGAAATATTCCCCAGCACCCAGCATATTCTCTAGATATTGCCTTTAGATTTTCATGTGTTCCGGTCTTTACAGAATATATTGAAGGGCAAAAATCTTAAGTCCGAGAAAGCTGTCGAAAACCATCTCACGAACCTTTTTCAAAAAGAAGAAAGTTCTTTCTCCAAAAATGGATTCGACCAACTTGTAGATCGTTGGAAAACAATTGTAGAAAAGAATGGAGACTAAATAACTGATTAATAAAACTATATTCTTTAAAATTTAACCTGTTGAAATTTATTTTTAAATCAAACACGAACTTATGCACCATGCAATACTAAAATATAACACTAAATAAATACAAAATAACAATACATAAAAGAGTTGTATTCCGTTGGAATATTCTGCCTATCTGAGCAATATAAACAGTTCGTTTTTTCGTACAGATTGTTCTTCGTTGGTTCTGTGACCAGAAAGCGATTACATAACTATGACGTACTTTGATTCTTATCATAACCGATCATCGTGTGTAAGTTTGTGATTGGGACTCGCGACGATTATGTCATGTTGACATTATGTGTTTCCCTCATGAAGAAAATGTTCAAACTCTATTCGCTGCCGTCTTGACATGACCTTTTCTGTTTACCTGATATACCTCGCTTTCGGATATTGTCGATATCAAATAAGTAGCAATAATTTCAAACAGTTCCTTGTCGCACATACAGAGTACACATCGAAACGTGTCAGTTATCAGTACTTTCAGGTATCAGTAATTAGTCGAACCACGAAGAAAAATAAAGCTGTGCGGTTATGCGTACAAATTATTGCGGCATGCAGATTGAAAAAGATCAGTATCTCAATTAAAAGTGAATCAATAGAGAGAAACCGGAACAGGCTTTAAAGGGCAAACCGTGCGGCAAACGTTACAAAAATGGAGCAGCATTGAAAAGTGTATAAGTATACCTTATCGACGTAATATCTGCGAACAAAACTTCTGAAGATGGATATGATAGATCTGGCCAAGATCGTTGATACAAATAAATGGAGCAGAAACAACTACCAAAGCAGCAAATTGGTAATCTTGTAAAATTACATTATATGAAAGCGCAAGGACGTTTATACATGTTCTTGGTAAGGTTAACTTTGTTTATAAATAGCAGGAAGATCTGTTAAACGACCTACGTTGTCTTCCGCCCAGCGAACAAGAAGGAAGCAATGTTACGCAGCCGGGACCGTCTTCCGTGAGTGATCCGTGCGGCGATCCTCCCACCAGGGGGAGCGACACTAACAAATACAATAAAATTTCAAAACAATGCGACATTTGCAAACAAATCTTTCGCAGAAGACATGAGTTGATGGATCATTGCGAGAAGGTCCATAAACGTAGCATGTACAAATGTGACCGTTGCGACTATGAAACCAACCATAAGAATCACTTAAAAAGACACGAGAAAATACACGTAAAAAAACGTCCGACCAATAGCGGCGACTACGTGTGTACTGAGCCCGGCTGTAACAAGAGATATAAGAATAAGCATGATTTCATATGCCACATAAAGATTTGTCAGTATAAAAATAAGATGAAAAGCAATAATATGGGAACGGGACCGTCCTCAGAGAGTAATCTATACTTCAGAAAAAAAAAAGAAATGTACGAACTTTCTAGACAATGCAGAATTTGTGATCAAATGTTCCGTAATAAGAAAATGTTAATAGATCACTCAATGAAGGTTCACCAACATTGTGTGCACATATGTGAAGACAAAAAGTGCAATTACGAAACCAACAAACTGCGAGACATGCAAAAGCACTTTGTAAGAATGCACACGACTAATAAAAACTAAGTATGTAGTGGGACCGGCTGTAACTGGGTGAGAAAAGATCAGGAGTAGCTAAGGCAACACGTTCACCCTGACAAATAAAACAAGACGACGCGTTCACTCTGACAAATAAAAGAAAAGCAGTATTGAAGACCTACGGCTGTCTTCAGAGAGCGACCTGTACGGCAAACATTTCAGAAGAAGCCCCAGCATTGAAAAGCCCATAAATATGCCTCATAAATGCAAAATCTGCAACGGAATGTCTCTTTTTAAGTAATAGTTGGAAAAAATACCTCTTTACATATAGATCTTTACAAACAATCCATATACAACTGCAGCAATGGTTAACTACGTATTTAACAAGAATCATTTCCAAAGACCCATTGCACGAAATCACACGGACACTTATGGCTAAGTGTGTACTGAGCCTGTCTGTGGAAGTATAAATAGTAGGCGGGTCTGAAGACGCACATACAATCGTCCTATCAACCAGAAGAAAAGCAAAGCACATGGAAAATTATGACTACGTGCTTGACAAGAAAAGCTGCTACAAGAAATTCAAAACTTGAGGAGGAACTGAAGAAACAGGTAAAATATGACCTTTCCAAAGACACCTACTAATGCCGAAAATATACTGAAGTAAACTCTAATTTTTTAAAGCCCGGAAAGCACAGGAACGTGCGGAGAAATCCAGAGATTCAATTTGTGGTAAGGCTATACTAACAAAGAAAGGGTCGGAACTGTTCCTCACGGATTTTTACGGGCTTTGAATATATTGCAGAGCAATGAGAACTATTACACATGTATTCTTTTTACCGGCGAATTTCAAACTTTAGAAGTGTGCATGAAACAACCACTAAAGAAAACCAACATTTTAATTTTTTGCGAATATCTTCTAAAATGCGAGGTATATAAAAAAATATGCCGCACAAAAGTTTTACAGTACTTTATACTATTTGCACTTAATTTGATGATTTTGAAATTTCCAAAGATCGATAAATTAACAAAAGTAAAGTCACTATTATAGCAATATATTTTTCAAATTAAATTACCTAAGAAGGTCTAATTTTTTCCATTTTTTCTTTCGACAAATGATTAGCGAGATATCTTGAGTTAAATATTGAAAAAGTTATCAAGTTTTCCCTGAATATCTCAAAAAATATTGGGCAAATAAAAAAATGTTTCAGACAAAAGTTGATAAAATTTGTTGGCAGAAAAAGAAGATATAATGAGAAATTTGGCTTTCTATTTAAAAAAATTAAGTTGACCTTTAACTGACCTTTAATATACGTTTCAAAGTCAAAGCAAGGACATCGTTGTATGTCTCCCTTCAACCATATAAATTTTATTTAAAATATTTCTTTCTCCAACATTTCGCTTTTGAGATATTTTGCATTATAAACTTAAATGGTCCACCCTGTATATGCACGTTCATCTAATATTTTTATTTGGTGTAATAAATTGCATACTGCATCATTAAAATTAATTCATTTGTATATTGTATGTATGAGGAAATATGCATAAGAGACAGCTACTGAGTACAGCGTAAATGAAGAGAATTAATAACACACTTATCCACACCGCAGCGTCTATAGCACGATATCATCTCGTTTTTCTAAAAATTAATCATGACCATATTGTATTATTATATATGGATGGATTCGGCTACAATTTTCTTTAATTTTTGTCCTCATGAAATTTTTAATTTTGCGAAATTAAAAAGATAGGGACGGGGGGTAGAAAGTTTTGACACTTTTGAAAAATCTGAATATACCGTTGCAAATAGTCTAAAGTATTATAAAACTTTTATAGGAAATATTTTTTCATATACCTCTTACTTTAGAAGATATTTGCAAAAAATTAAAATGTTAGTTTTTTTTAGGGTTGTTTAGGGTTAGTTTTTTTTAGGGTTGTTTTTTTAGGGTTGGTTTTTTTAGAGTTGTTTCACGCTCTAAACCTTGATATAAAAAAAATACGTGTCTAATTTCTTATTGCTCTACAACATATTCAAAGCCCATCAAAATCAGTGAGGGACTCTTTCCTAAGTAAAGTTTATTTCATCATTTATAGATATATGCTGAGACGACAATTGTTTGTCCTGTCCGCAATAAGATGTATAACAGCAGAAGAACTATACTGGAGCACTGTATACGTATATACTTGGATAACCCTACATCTGCAGTCTACAGCACGGGATTCATCCAGCGACGGTCTTTACGCAGTTATATGGAGAAGAGATATTCTAATCCGGTCCTAATCGAATAAAATGATCAGGTATCGAGAGCACTTTTGCAACATTTCTATAAGAACAAAAGACGAACAAGCTGTCGAGTCGAGTAGAGAAAGAACAAGAAGGACGCGAGGAAGTAGTTTAGTGCGTAATATGTTTATATACAGTTTATTTATACATACATGAGAACATACACATACACGCTCAACATACGAGGTCTGGCAAAAGTACGGAACGGCTAATTATTAAAAAAAGAATGATTGTTTTAAACAATATTTGAAACAAAAGTTGTAGGGCTTAAAAAAAGCTATCAGATATTGATAATTGTTTGGCCTGGGAATGACCCTGAGAATCGTTATCAAGGTTATCAAGGTCGACATAAAAATCTTAAATGGGAACTCCAATATTTTATTACACCGTCTTTTTCCACCAATTAATTTGAACAACTTTTGTCTGAAATATTTTTTTATTTGTCTAATATGTTTTGAGATATTTAAGGATAACTTGGTAACTTTTTCAATATTTAACTAACGATATCTCGCTAACTGTTTGTCGGGATAAAAAATGGTACTAGACTTTTCTATTCTACTTGCTCGCAACAATATATTGGTACAATGCTTTATTTTTTGTTAATTTATCGAACTTTTGAAATTTCAAAATTATCAAATTAACAAAGGTCAGGACGCTATCGTAACAATATATTCTTAAAACCAAGTAAGATAGAAAAGTCTAGTACCATTTTTTTATCCAGCCAAACCGTTGGCAAAATGTCGTTAGTTAAATATTTAAAAAGTTATCAAGTTATCCTTAAATATCTGAGAAAATATTAGGCAAGTAAAAAAATGTTTCAGACAAAATTGTTCAATGTTGTTTGGTGAAAAAAGGCGATGTAATAAACAATTGGAATTTCCATTAAAAATTTTTATGTCGATCTTGATAACGTTTCTCAAGGTAATTCTATGGTCAAACAATTATCAATATCTGATAGCTTTTTTTAAGCTCTACAACTTTTGATTCAAACATTGTTTTAAACAATCATTATTTTTTGAAATAAAGACCGTTTAGGAACTTTTAGCAGACCCTGTATGTGCTGAATCTTTGAATAAACTCTCAAACGCTCACACGCTCACAGACACACAATATCCGCGCATATATCCCACATCGTATCTTTTTATAAAATTATATTTTTAGCCCTTTTTAAATTGTGTTTTTATCCTTGGACATTTATTCGCACTAATTCTATATCTTCTATGTGTTCTTACATATTCGCGCGCGCACGTATATGTGCGTATACATACGCATACACACGTATACATGCTAGCACCCAATTTGCTCTGTGGAATATTGAGATCAGTACATAGGAAAGAGTTGGAGGATGATTATATGACGAACGTTGTAGGTGTATACTTTGCTTACATAACGAGCTGAACGTAACATAAAAATTTGAATTTTACATAATAAGATAAACAAATATCATATTGTACGTGTGACATGTTTATAATAATGTAAAACTTTTGTACACCTGGATATTTACATAGTTGGTACATATTCAGTGAATACAAATTATAATAGTGATTTTATATCAATATTATAACATTGCACTTGAAAATGTAACAATATCAAAGAATATAAATGTAATCACTTCTTGCAAATTATAGTAACATTGTTTAGCAAGATATTGTGACATTGTAATAATTTTACTGTACTAGTTTTTGCTTTGACTAGGATGGAATAAAAAGAAATATACCAGGTATGTAAATGAAACCGGAATTTTTGTATAGAAAATACATGTTTATTGTATGAAGATGATAAAAAATATTTTATTCGAAGTATTACCCATCGCTAGCTATACATTTTTCCCACTTGTCTGATAATTTGTGGATGCCACGTCAAAAAAAACTGTTGCTCTTTTGAGGCAAACCAGTCATCGAGCCATTTTCGTACATTTTCGTAAGAAGTGAAGCGCTGCTCAGCAAGTGCGTGTCCCATCGATGCAAATAAGTAATAATCGGACGGAGCCAAGTCTGTGGTGCGATTTTTTAACTCGTTATTGGAGTTAACGACAGTTTCGTTATCGTTGCGCAACTTTTCTACGGTATACAAAAGCTGCGCAACGATAACGAAATTGTCGTTAACTCCAATGACGAGTTAAAGAATCGCACCACTAGTGAATAAGCCGCATGCGAAAGTATTTCCCAATTAAATGCCTCAATCGTTTCCTTGACCAGTTTTGCTGTGTCTGATGGTGCATTATCATGAAGCAAAATCACTTTGTATTGCTTTTTTTGATATTCTGGTCGTTTTTCACGCAAAGCTTGATTCAAATCGATCATTTGTTGTCGGTAGCGTTCAGTATTAACGGTTTAGCCAGGTTTTAGCAGCTCATAATATATCACACATTTCTGATCCCACAAAACACAGAGCATTGTCTTCCGTCTATAGCGATTTGGGCTTGCAGTCGATGTCGATGGATCGCCTGGAGTTACTCATGATCTTTTATGCTTAGGATTCTCAAAATATATGCACTTTTCATTGCCAGTCACAATTCGATGGAGAAATGACTTTCTTTTGTACTTGGCGAGCAGTATTTCGCAAGTGGTTTTTCGGTTTTCCTGTTGTTTTTCATTCAGTTCATGTGGAACCCATTTTTCCAGCTTCTGGATCTTCCCCATGGCTTTCAAACGTATGGAGACGGCTTCTCGTATCACATTCAATTGATCCGCGAGTTGTTGTTGCGTTTAAGCATCATCCTCATCCAACAATGCCTGCATTTCGCCGTTTTCAAACTTTTTCGGTGGTCTTCCACGTTCTTCGTTTCTCACGTCAAAATCGCCACGTTAGAATTTTTTAAACCACTGAAAGCACTGTGATTTACCAAGAGCATGCTCACCATAAGCTTCGATAAGCATTCGATGCGATTCTGCAGCAGTTTTCTTCAAATGGTAACAGAAAATCAATGCTGTCCGCAAATCGTAGCTTCCATGCACAAAATTCGACACGTTTAACACTATTACAAACTATGTTGCTGTATGAAACTTGTATTGTTGTGAGTTGAAAATCTTTATCAGATGTCAACAAATGGAAATGGCGTCAATGACGCGGTTTGACTGTAACTACATTGACAGCTAGGGCCATATGTGGGCAAATTCCAGTTTCTTATTTACAGATCTGGTATATGGCTCAACAATAAAGCGAAATGCTACATCGTGAGAAATATATAAAAGAAAGAGGAAGAATAAGTACAGAGCGAAAAATAGCCAATTTTTATAGAAGTATTAATTGGATTTTCTTGCTCGTTTATATGTCGATTCTACTAGGGAAAATATATCCACAGAGATTTTGAAAGAGGTAGTACGCATCAACGAAGATAGTGATGCATCACTCAAAGTTGAATGTTTGTCTGTTTCTATGATTTTCATTTTGGAAAAAGAACATTCACATAAATATGTGGACCCAAACATAGAGAAAATTCGAAGACCGAAATTTCTAAGACGTTGATAACACGATGCGTCTAAAATTTTAATGAATTCGACACGCTTTTCCTGTTTTTAATGAAAGATCATATTGCGAATCGCGCAATTCTGCCTGAAGATGTAGGCTTTGTTCCTCGATTTGCACAGTGAGAAGATTCTCAAAGAATATTAAATCTTTTCTTAGCATAAAAATGTATTTAAAATTTAACCTATTGAAGTTTATTTTTAAATCGAACACGAATTTATGCAACAATTCAATATTAAAATATATGACAATAAATAGAAAATGACAATACATAAATGAGTTATATTCCTTTTGAATATTCTACCTATCTGAGCAATGTAAACAGTTCATTTTTTCGTACAGATTGTTCTTCGATTGTTCTGTAACTAGAAAGCGATCACACGACAACTATGACGTCCTTTGATTCTTATCATAACCTATCATCGTGTGTAAGTTCGACATTGGGACTCGCGACGATTATGTCATGTGTTTCCCTCATGAAGAAAGTGTTCAAACTTTATTCGCAGCCGTCTTGACGTGACCTTTTCTGTTTGCCTGATATACCTCGTTTTCGGATATTGTCAATATCAAGTAAGTAGCAATAATTTCAAACAGTTCCTTGTCGCACATACAGAGTACACATCGAAATGTGTCAGTCATCTGTACTTTCAGGTATCAGTAATTAGTCGAACCACGAAGAAAAATAAAGCTGTGCGGTTATGCGTACAAATTATTGCGGCATGCAGATTGAGAAAGATCAGAATCTCAATTAAAAGTGAATTGATAGAGAGAAACCGGAACAGTCTTTAAAGGGCAAACCGTGCGGCAAACGTTACAAAAAGGAAGCAGCATCGAAAAGGATGTAAGTGTATTTTATCGACGTAACATCTCCAAACAAAACTTCTGTTTGAAGATGGATATGATAGATCTTGACGAGATCCTTGATACAAATAAATGGAGCAGATACAACTACAAAAGCAGCGATTTGGTAATCTTGTAAAATTACATTATATGAAAGCGCAAGAACGTGTACACATATTCTTGGTAAGGCTATAACTTTGTTTATAATTTGCAGGAAGATGTGTTAAGCGAACTACGATGTCTTCTACCTAACGAACAAGAAGTAAGCAATGTCATGCAGTCGGGACCGCTTTCCGTGAGTGATCGGTGCGACGAACCTCCCATCAAGGGGAGCAACACTAACAAATACAATGCAATTCCAAAACAATGCGACATTTGCAAACAAATCTTTTGCAGAAAACATGAGTTGATAGATCATTACGATAAGGTACACAAATGTCACATCTACAGATGTAACCATTGCGACTACGAAATCAACTGTGTGATCGACTTAAAAAGACACGAGAAAACATGCACAAGACAATGTCCGACGAGTAGCGGCGACTATGTGTGTACTGAGCCCGGCTGTAACAAGGTATATAAGACAAATTATAATTTCAAGTACCACATAGGGATTTGTCATAAAAATAAGATGAAAAGCAATAATGTGGGGCCGGGACCGTCAGAGAATAATCTATACTTCAGAAAAAGAAATGAAATATACAAACTTTCTAGACAATGCAGAATCTGTGGTCAAATTTTCCGTAATAAGCTAATGTTGATAGATCACTCAATGAAGGTTCACGAACGTTGCGTGTATATATGTGAAGACGAAACATGCAATTACGAAACCAACTACCTGCAAAACATGCAAAGGCACTTTGAAAAAAAGCACATGAATAATAAAAACTAAGTA